TTCGTGATCTTGTAGGAGAGCGGGAATTTGACGTCGCAGTAGTGACATACTTGCACACGCTTTAGCTTGGTTTTATTCGCATGTCGGAGCCCATGACACCCTTCTGCAAAATGCAGCTTGTCTCCATACTCCGACATGATGAAGCTACCACGGTGCCTTACGAAGTCTCCCTTGCGTGCCGATGTCAAGGCTGCTCTCAAATCCGGATCATCTTCCATCCTCATCGTAGATCTTGTAGCGGTCGTAGGGATCTGAGTCACTGTGGGATTTGGAGAATCCGCTTCCGCCGCCACTGTTGGAGTAGCCACCTTTAGCCTTGGGTTCTTCTCCAGCTCGTTATACATGGGGTCCGCTGAACTGCTTGACATAGACGCCAGCTCCTCTTGTAGCGCCCTGGATGCCTGGTTTCTGATCTTCATCAGTCGCCTTGCCTTTGCCAGCGTAGTTTCGTCTTCGCCAAAGCATCTCATCGCCACCCACTTCAGCAGCTCCCAAACTCCAAGCAACGCAATGCCTGCCATTGCAATGATCGCGTAAAACTCGACGCTGCCGTCGTACTCAATCGGCTTCTTGCTGTATAGCTCTGCACCTGAGGCCTTGGGCGTTCCTGCTACCATCATCAACCATACAAGCATCCTCATTAGGTCGTAGTAGTCCGGGCCTGCCAAGCTCTTGAGAATCACCTTGCGGTCGTCATCCTCAAAGTCCTCTGCTGAGCACATACCCCACAAGCGCCTGAGCTCCTCCAAACGAGATGCTGGTACTGGCTTCGTTCCCATATCTGCAACTTGTACATCTCCAGGAGCGTGCTCCACCTTGATCCTTCCCTCTGCCGTTTCCATGCGAATGAACCTTGCCTTCACCTTCAAGTGGCGAGTCTTCCAGGATCCCGGTGCTGTGGTGGCCAAACCACAAGCTGCTGTATTGTCCACACGGAGAATCACCGGTTCCAATCCATCATCTTCCTCCACTTCCATGACCCACGCTTGGAGTCCTGCAGCTTGTTGGCTGGCGTTCAGCAACTCCACCAGCTCTGCCTCTGCTGCAGACAAGACCACCGTCGCCTGCTTCGTCATTCTCCACGCTGAAAAACCTCCATACGTTGCTGTAGTCACACAACCAAAGCTTCGGTCACCTTGTGGAGCGAAACTGGCATCTGAGTACGCCACCACAGGCATGCCTTGACCATTGTAGCATAAACCCCAGGTTGGCGTTGCCGCCAAGTACCGCATTGTGACCTTAGCCAAGCGAATGGCTGCTTGTGGATCTTTTGTGGCGGTAGAACACACATGCGCAGTCGCGAACCCCACATCGGGCCTCGTTCGTGTCACAAGCCACAGTAATTCCCCTGCCATTCTTTGAGCTTGCTTCACCATCTCAGGGTCGATTACCATAAGAACTGGCTCCTCCTCATCGTCCTCAATCGACGGCATAACTTCCTTGGTGGCTGGTACCATGGAAGGACGTTTGCTTTCTTCAGGGTAGCCTTTCAGGAGCTCCATCACGTAGCTTCCCTGAGAGATGTGAAAGCTGGTAATATCTCCTATTGCTCTCCTCCTCACGTCCATCCCCAGGTACCTGACTGGTTCACGTCCAAGCCACTCCATCGGCGAGCACTTCCAGCCTTCTTCACCTTCTGTGCCCTGCGTGAGCCACCTGTATATGTCGCCAACAACACCTTCTGGCCCAAGCATCAGCACGTCATCCACATAGATGATCATGATGGCCTTTGTTTTGGTCGGATCTTCACATGTCACCAGTCGCCAAACTGCTTGATCCGTTTCCATCTGGAGGAACATGCAATCTTGGTCACCCACCTTCAGTCTTGCACGGCCAACACGCCGATCTCGGAAACTCCCCCACAACCTCGGGGCTTCTCTCAGACCATACAGCACCCGGTCCACCATGTAGGCGATGTCCGGCGGCGCGTAGCCCGCTTCGACTACCACCTTGGGTACTGTAATCGCGTACTTGACCTTGGACTCTTCCATCGGGGTAAGTGTAAAGGCTGAGTTGACGTCCGTGATTGCTCCATGCCATTTCTTGTGTGCCGCATACGATAGCGAAACCCTCACCGACTCTGCATTGGCTGAAGCCGTGTAAACCTCCACATCGCTGTTCACATAGTTGCCACAGATAACCAGGCGACTCTTTCGCTTGTAGAGCCCCTCTTGGTCTTGACTCGGTGGTTTGATCGTATGTACTGTTTTGGCCGGGACCAGGACAATCTCCCCGGCTTGAGCCATTCTCCTCGCATCTGTCAGCGGCACCGGTCGCAAAGTTCCAGACGAAGTCAACCCTTCCACCTCCTTGCGTATGCTTTCCTTCCACTCACTTAGGTGGTTCTTAACCTCTTGCAACTCCACATTGTGGACCGTCTCAATCGGCTCGGTCAGCTTCTGCAACATCTGCTCCACCCCCTGAGTGACTTCGGGGTTTGCAGCAAGCCTCATGAGGTTCACGTTTCCTTCTTCTCGAGCCTGATGACTCAAAGCCAAAACTGTAGAACAGTTGCCTTTCACGTTGCGTAGGGTATTCTCCTCTTGCCGCTTGTCTGACGCGAATCTGTCTCTCTTCCTCCACAAACTCAGACAGCCATGTCACTCGACTCCTCATCCGTTGCTCCTCCTCATTTCCAAGGGGAAGAAGAGGCATCGATGTCATGATTGCCTCATCCTGCTGTCCAGGATCCGGACAGAATCGAATAGCCCATCGTAAGCGTAGCTCCACTCTTCCTCCAGGAACAACCATAGTATCCAGCCTTTCGCCTCCCATTTCTGGAAGATGCTCTCGGGGCCTATTCGTTGAGCCCGAGGACGAAGTCTGAGTGCTATAGGGGCCTGGTGTTGCCGAGCTCACTTCCATTCGATCTTCTGAAGTTGGCCTCTGCAACGTGGATTCATTTGAAGAGTCTAGGGCCCCACCACTTGTTCCCGACAATGCCGTAGTTCCTGTCGTTGGAATAGCGGTCGAAGCTTGTAGTGAATCTGGTATAGGTGGAGTTGGGGGTCGTGGCCTCCTGTTGTTCTCGTTCATCATCTTGATGACGGGCTGTCTAGCGGGCAGCTGGAAACCTAGCTCCTGTAGATCTTCGCACTGATGATCCAAAAGCTTCTCCCACTTGCTCACATTGTACCCGATAGCCACAATACGATCTCCTGAGTCTCCCTTGAGGGGTGCATGTAGTCGATCAGGTCGTACCATTGTTGGCCTTTCAATGCTGAACTTTTGGCCCGGCACCTCCCTCCCATTAACCCACATCGCGTGGTAATTGCCGTGAAACTCATCCCCGGGTTTCATCTCCTGCCAAACACTGCTTCCTGAGGTCACACTCACCGGCGACACCAGGTTCATCGTCTCTTTGAGGTTGAACGAGTCCTTGTGCACTGGCATTGTTGCATTTTTCACCAGAGCGATAGACGTGAATGGCTTTCCTGGATGGTCCAAGGCAATAAGTTGCGCAGCAATCTCGGCTTCCTCCATGAACTTCTCCGTCGCCTTGGTGATGCTTGTAATCCCACCGTGCTGGTAGGCCCCCAAGTTGACATACGCAGCTCCGTCCCAGACTTGTCCCTCCTTCATTTGCGGTCGCTCCACCCGGGCTTCCTCATGCTCCCAGATCTTTGACTTGAGCAACCGGTTCACCAAAGCCCTTCTTGCGTCCGTTCTCAAGCTGTGTATTTCTGGATCCGGTAGTTTGGTTTTCCTTCTGATCCTCCTTGTGGGCTCCACGAGGTCGATCACATGCTCTGCGTCGTCTTCATCCTCGACTTCATCATCCCTGACTGTACGCATATGCAACGTCCTAAGCCAGAGTCCATCATCCAAGCGAACCACATGTCCTTCTCGAACATCATCCGCTGGGCCCATATACTTTCCTCGTTCCCACTTTGGATCAAATGGACCTCGGTCTTTCTTGGACTTCACCCAAACCACCGAACCAAACTTGATCTCTTGAGACTTGTGTCCCAGCTGCCTCGCATTGTGCAACTGGCATGCGTGCTTCATGGCGCACGGCCACAGCTCCTTGTCCAGCTCCGCTGCCCCAAGATGAATCCGGGCCTGGGATTTGAGCCACTTCACATGGCTTTCCGCCGCCGCATTCTGTGTGGGCGCCAAGCCTTCCGTGAACGTCTGGTATATGTCTCGTTCCCTGCACCACTTTCTCACCGGCTTCACCCTGAATTCTCGAGCTCTGTCGCTGTGTATTCGAGTCAAAGGCAGTCCCAAGGCTCTGAGCTTGACGTACAGGTCCTGGACGCACTCGAGAATCTCTTTGCCAGTGTGCCTCTCCAAGGGTATACAGAACCTCAAAGCTTGTAGCTCCATTGGCTTTCTAAGGTCCGCAATCTTTTTCTTCCATTCCTCCTCCTGTGCTTGTAGCTCCGGATCATCTTCTCCTTCTGGCTCCCCTGGCTCTTCGTCCACCTCCTCTAGGAACTTCTCGGCCTCTTCCTCGTCGGGGATTGGAGCATCTACCGGAACTTCCCGAATCTTTGGAAAGAGGTAGGTCGCTGCAAGGACGAACTTATATCTCCCTCCACGAACTTCGTCTCTTCCCTTTTCAGCGAACGGTCCTGCGATGTCCAGACTCATTACGTAGGCATCCCTATGCACCACGCGGCGTGCTGGTCGCCCCGTGCCTGACGCTGCCGGGCACACTGAGCAATCTCTTCTGTAAGGCCAATGTCCTCGTTCCACATGGGCCTTCCACTCTTCCAACTTGCCTTGCGTAGAGCTGGACCTCCACTTCTATCCCATTCATGGATCGCGTCCGCCAACGTAATCCTGAAACCATGTGGCCAAACAGTCTGGTCACCTTCTGCGCTTTCTGAGCTGACAAAGGCTCGCGAGTCCCTGAGGCCATGTATTCCCAGACCCATGTTTGTGAGGCAACACGTAGGCCTCCTCATCATGTGTCCAAGGGCCCCTTGCTCAAACTGCACCTTGTTCAACTCCATGTGGCTTGCAAACTTCTGAACGAGCTCCGTACGCCACACCGATACGCAGGTGCTCTTCTGATTTCCCTCGGGCAGGTACTCCTTGGGGTCCTCCGGGTACTCCATGCAAAAACCCACCTTATGTCCGGGAGCATCTCGGTCCTCATTGGCGACCTCAGCGCATAGCCACAACCACAACATCTTGTACATCATCATGTTCTCGTTGTAGACCTTAGAGGACTCTTCGGCATTCAAACCTTCCCGGAGTCCCCACGGCTCATGCACTGACCTCAGGGGCCTAAGCTCCGCATGGTTGTCGCTTTTGTACCTCATTGGCGAAAAGGTTCCTGCTGGTGGCCCTCCAAAGACATGCTTGATCCTCCCTTCTCGGGCGGCCCAAATCAACACGCCGTAGATCTTCTCATCGTTGAGATTCCACCCCTTCTGTAGGTCAACTTCAAGCAGTCCGGGAAAATCTCGTAGAGGATCGTTTCGCGCACTCTTCCCCGAGAACAGATGAACTATCCACTCCCTGGATTGCCACAGCTGTCGCCTCTTTGCTCTGTTGAGTGGGAACTGCTTCATCCACACCCAGGCCTGGTCTGCATTGTCCGGGGACTTCGGTAGGATCTTCAGTTGCCCATTCATAGGCGCATGGTGCATGAACGGTGCCGCCAAGACCGCCCTTGTCGCATCGTCCACTGTGCCAGAAGCCACATAGTCCCGCACCATGTCCTTCCAGCTCTTTTCCTTGTAGTCCCTGGCTACGCTGACTGATGCCTTGAGTTGAGCCAACGACTCCATCGTCTCGTCGATCTTCGCCTGCTCCAATTCCGCGATTAACCTCAAGGCATCGCACTGCATTATCTCTGGACACGTAGACCTGGTGTAGACCTTGATTTCCTTCTTTGTAGGATGTCTCAGCCTACATCCTCTACGATCCCATGCGAACTCATATCCCAGCGATTTCACCAAAGTACCCAAAGGTACAATAGGCTGTGCGTCTTTGCCCCCTAGGATGGTGCCCGTCTTGGTCTGGTCCATCTTGACCCTGTTCTCCCCCGCTAAGGTGACATTGACGCTTCCAACACCGTTAACTGAGTCATTCGACACCCGCGGCCTCAGTGGGTGCGTAGCTCCTGAGTCCAGGAGTCCCATCTTGCAAAGCTTGGTCAGCTCTTCATTGTTCTTCAAGAGCTCCCTCAGCTGTGGCGAATCCTCCACCTCTCTGTCGGAACTGCTGCTCTCCACACGCAAGGTCCTTATCGTAGGTGACCCGCCTTTCTGCTCCATGAAGGCCTTCATCAGCTTTTGAGCGTCCTCAATGAGCTGCTCCACTGGTACACCTTGTACCGGCTGCTCCGATCCTTCGCCCCCTGGCGTAGTTGTAGAAGGCGCCGTAGTCGATGAGTCCTCCGCAGCATTGTTGGAATCGTGGTTTGCGGTCCTTGCGCCCTTTGGGTTGTTTCTTCGCCCTCCTGTCCCCCCAGTTGAGGACTGAGGTGAGTCACCCGTGGACACCGCCTTCTGTTGAGCCTTGGTAGGGCATGCATTGGCCATGTGGCCCTTCCCACCACACTCGTAGCATCTGTCTCTCCCTTCTGACTTGCTCAACTTGGGGTGCTCGAAGCGACACATCTTGCCTCTCCGGCATCCTTCATCTGAACTAAAAAACCTGCACGGCTTTGTGGATCCCTTCGGACTGGTACTCGGCATCGGCGTCGTTCCAGGCGGGGCCTCCACTGCTCGCATCCTTGGCTGCTGTTGTGCTCCAGCATTGTCTTCCTTCGGCTTGCCCCGTTTGTAACCCAGCTGCTCAAACTCTGCCAGGTACGCCCGGTGGATTGCCATGACACTCGTCTCAGTGGGGGCAAAGTCGACGCGAGGGTGGTACCTCATGAGGTTCATCCGAAACGTGATGTCACCATGCTCTGCCATCGGACGTTTCACCAGCCCTTCAAGAGACTTGAGAAGTATTGAGGAGTCCGGGGTCGCCAGTCCTAAGTCCTTCGCCCGCTGGTAGAACCTGGCCCATTGACGCAGCCCCGTAACCGCCTCATGAGCATTTCCGGCTGGGTCAGGGAACTCCACTCTTCTTAACAGCATCGACTTCTCCGTGGCACTTCCAGGGCGGTACAACACCATCAACCGCGCCAAGATGTCCAACGTAGATCGCGACCTCGATGCCACCAAGTCCTTCTTTATCTCCTCCGGCATGGCGTTCAAGAGAGCTCCCGCCGCTCGTCGGTCGACCCTTGCCCACTTTGTATCAGCCGTCTCAGTGCTGGGCGAAGGTTTCAAAGCCAACCTTCCGAACTGGTCCGCTTCTTGATACCTTTTGTAGTAGTCTGTCGCGTCCTCAAGTATATGCCTCCACCACTCCGCCGACGTTGCACTAAGATCTCCCATGACATTTTCAACACAGTAGAGCCAATCTCCAAAGTCCACTGCACTGGTCTCGGTTACCTCTGGTAGCTTGGGGATCTCCGCTGCGGCCTTCGTCACCTCCTCAGGCTTTGCACCCTTGATGACCCTCTCAAGGCCCTCAAGCAGCCTGCTCATTGGATCCATCGGCACGCCTTCACCTCCTCCTCCAGCTGAGGTAGAAGCTCTTGCTTGCATAGGTGGTGCCTCCGAGGTAGTAGATCCTGCTTCGGGGGATCGTTGTCATAGAAGATCCTGCTTGGAAGAGTGGTCCCCCCGATGTAGAGGCTCCTGCTTGAACAGGTGGTGCCGTCGCGGTAGAAGCTCCTGCTTGAAAGAGTGGTGCCGTCCCGGTAGAGGTTCCTGCTTGAAAGAGTGGTGCCGTCCCGGTAGAAGCTCCTGCTTGAAAGAGTGGTGCCTCCGACGTAGAAGCTCCTGCTTGAAAAGGTGGTGCCGTTGCGGTAGAGGCTCCTGCAGGAAAGAGTGGTGCCGGTGATGGTGACGACCTGCTCGGCATCGTCGGGACTTGGCCTGCAAGATACCCCCCCATAGGCAACAGGTGGTCCCTCAGGCGGTTTCATCATCCTCTCTTTCTGCAGTCTCTCCATTTCCCTTCTTAGGTCACCAGCTTCTCTCCTCGACTCTTCCAGCTGCTCAACCACTCCTCTTAGCTGCTTCCGGACCTCGTCCTGAACCGCTTCGTAGGTGCTCCCACCAGAGCTCCCGTCATGCCTCTCTTGTGGTGGGGCTCTTCCATACAGCAACGGCGCCCGCTGCTCCATTCTTCGCAGTTGCTCTTGCTGCTCTCTCGTCCATAGCATAGACTGACCTCCATCTTCCGAGCGACCTCGAGGACCTGGATCAGTATCCGGCGATCCCATGGCCCTCCGCCCCGCTGGAGGCGGCGTTCCCATGGGTGAAGGGTTCCACAACGCACCAGATTGCTGCCTGGCGCCCATCTCTTGAAAGAACGCCCCTAACCTTTGCATCCAGACCGGTACGCTCCTCCTCGTGGACGTAACTGACCACGAGGCCTGAGCCGCATTCTGGAAGCCTTCATAGCCCGTTGTCGTGGCATCTGCATAGGCCTCACGCGCCTGAGCAGCTTGTGCCACCATCGCCGCTTCCTGTTGTGTCCACCCAGGTTGCCCACCCGGAGACGAAGTGGCCATGGCCACGGTCATTCTATTGACCGCAACAAGCGACCCCATAGCGCCACTTTCCATTTCCCCTACTCCGTCCTGCTGTAGTGCCACTACCCCGTTCACTGAAGGATCTGTAGCGGCAGCTGCGACCACGGTACTTGGGCTCATACCCTGATGATCTTCAGCTGGGATAGCAGGTGCAGACAGTTGCTCGTAGGGTGGTTCCACGGCGGCTGACATGTCGGTCGATTCTGTTTTATCACCAACGCACAAACCTCCGGTCTGTCAGCTCCGGGTTGTACAATGCTGACCTGGTAACTTGTTGAAAGGTTTGGCTTCACAAGTGCAGCTCAAGGGGCATCGACGTAGCCCTCCCTTAAGCCACAAAGCAATCGAAGAAAACAAATGGGCTGTTCCACAGCCTATTC